AAATCCAGGATTAAGACCATTTCAAAGTGTTCAATTTGATTGTACTGAAATGCCCCAAATCAGTGTGCTAAATATTCATTAATAGTAGACCATTTTACTCATCGGGTAGAGGCTGTCCCTTTCTCGAGTGCAACTGCTAGTGACGTGGTTAAAGCATTACTTGAACAGATCATACCTAAGTCTGTGCCAATAGAAAATATTGATTCAGACAATGGAACCTATTTTACTGCACTTGTCATTAAAATGTTGGCTCAAGTATTACACATAAAATGGGAATATCATATTCCTTGACATTCATCTTCCTTAAGAGGAGTAGAGAGGATGAACCAAACTCTCAAAAGTCACCTAACTAAATTAGTCCTAGAAAGTTGGTTACCCTGAAATAAATGCCTTCCCATTGCACTGTTAAGAAATCAGAACCGCCCCTCAGAAAGACGTTGGCCTCTTGCCTTATGAAATGTACGGGCTGCCCTACTTACATTCCACCACTGTCCTTCCTACATTTGAAAAAAAAAGATCAGTTTCTCATAAATTACATATTTGGTCTCTCCTCTATCTTTTCTTCTAAAACCAGAGGGCTTCTAGCACAGGCACCACCCCTGGAATTCCTGGTGCACCAACACCAAACTGGAGACCACGTTTTCTTTTTCTTTTCTTTTATTATTATTATTATTTTTTTGCTTTTTCCTGAGACAGAGTCTTGCTCTGCCGCCCAGGCTAGAGTGCAGTAGTGCCATCTCGGCTCACTGCAACCTCCGCCTCTTAGGTTCAAGTGATTCTCCTGCCTCGGCCTCCTGAGTAGCTGGGATTACAGGTGTGTGCCACCATGCCCAGATAATTTTTGTATTTTTAGTAGAGACAGGGTTTCAACATCTTGGCCAGGCTGGCCTCGAAATCCTGACCTTGTGATCCACCCGACTCAGTCTCCCAAAGTGCTGTGATTACAGGCATGAGCCCGGCCTATTGTGTTACTTTTTCCTATCGAATGGTTAGCTATTCCATCATTAATGTAACCAGATCAAGCTCTCCCCAAATTATTACTTTTGATGCTGGTTTAGTCATGCCCTGCAGTAATTTACAGAACCAAAGACAGCCTACTGCTTCTGAGAAATCTCTCTGCCCTTCCTGGACCTCCTGAGATTGGAAGGATATATTGGATTCTTGCACAGATCATAATCCTGAGAGTAGCAGTTGCGTTAGCTGGTGGGAATGGGATTCTTGTCCTTCCCAAACAGACTCCCTCTGTTATACTTGGTCCAATGTCCTATGGAGCACTAAATGTCTTGGTTGGACTGTTCCCACAAGTCTTTGCCAGTCCTTAAGACCATTTATTCATTTCACCAAAGGGGTCGCTCTTCCAAATTGTTGATACAACCAATGTAGTCCTGTGCAGCTTACTAACACTATTGCAGCATTTCAAAATACCTCTCCTTCTTTAGGTTGTATTTATGCTATAGAGGCCAGTGCCTCAGGAAAGGACCTTAGGGGCTTCTTTTAAATACATTTTGTTGCGACTTTCTCCCTTCCTTTGCTCTCCATTGCCTTACTTGTTTAAGAAAGTTTTAAGCTTTTAACCAGTCGGGTTTAGTTTGAATTGTGAGGTCCATCTTCAGCCAATGGAGTCAGTGATAGAAGCCCAATGCATTATGATAAAAGGCCCTTCTCTCCTTGTTCAGTGTGCTCTCATGGCAGTTAGGTTTACAGGCAGCACCCTTCTACAGAGGTATAATTGCCTTGCTGAGAACTTGTTGGAATGATTGTTTTCTTTGAGACTTCAAACTTTTTCTTCTAACAAACCTTAACATCTCTATTTTGAAACACTGATCCCATTCATTTGGAGTTGATGTTTCCAGGTGCTATCTTCAAGCTTTGTGTTCACATAAACTCTAATCATATGTTCTAAACTTTATTATTTACTTCTAACATCAGTTTCTATCAGAATGTAGGAGTCTTACCAGAGAGGGCAACTATTACCATGTTGTGAAACTCATGTCTCAAAAAAAAAAAAATTGGTTTGGATTTTTCCGTTTCCCTCTGGATGAAGCTAATGAGCTGACACACATGGTCACCTCCATTACCAAGTACAGCCAGGATGAACATGTGTGACCAAGGGTGCTGTTAAGTCCTCTTACCTGAAGACTGATTAGTGTTCATCTGGATAACATGTACTTAATGGGTTGTGTAGAACAGTGAAGCTTCTTTCCCTCTTTTCAGTCTCTTAGCTGTTTGCCTGTATTACCCATCACATTCTGGTCTAAGGCTTACCTATTAATAATTATCTCTATTGTGGAGATGATTTCTCATTTTGGGGAAGATATTTTTGTTTTCAATTATATTGTCTCAACGTTCAAAAAGTGAAGAAAAGAGTATTTCTTGGGTCAGGCATGGTGGCTCACGCCTATAATCTCAGCACTTTACAAGTCTGACGCAGGCAGATCACTTGAAGTCAGGAGTTCTAGACCAGCTTGGCCAACATGGTGAAACCTTGTCTTTACCAAAAATACAAAAATTAGCCAGGCATGGTGGCACGCACCTGTAATGCCAGCTACTCCAAAATCTGAGGTAGGAAAATTGCTTCCAGCAGGGAGGCAGAGGTTGCAGTGAGCCAAGGTCGTGCCTCCTCACTCCAGGCTGGGCAACAGAGTGAGACTCCATCTCAGAAAAATAGAAAAGAAAAAAGTAAATTAGGCCGGGCGCAGTGGCTCACGCCTGTAATCCAAGCACTTTGGAGGCCAAGGCGGGTGGATCACGAGGTCAAGAAATCGAGACCATCCTGGTCAAGGTGAAACCCCGTCTCTACTAAAAATACAAAGATTAGCTGGGCATGTTGGTGCGTGCCTGTAGTCCCAGCTACTCGGGAGGCTGAGGCAGGAGAATTGCTTGAACCCAGGAGGCGGAGGTTGCGGTGAGCCGAGATCGTGCCATTGCACTCCAGCCTGGGTAACAACAGGGAAACTCCATCTCAAAAAAAGAAAAAAGAAAAGAAAAAAGTAAATTAAAAAAAGATTTATTTACACAGGCAAGAAAGAAAAAGTAAAAGATCTATTCCACAAATTTGCTGAGACAACTGGATATCCACACGGAAAAGAATAATGTTGAATCCTTATATCACACCATTAAAGATTTTATTTTTAAAAGTCAAAAAATAAGGAGAGAGAGAAGAGAAATAGAGTGAGGCGGAAGGGGATGTTACTGTGTCGCCCAGGCTTGTCTGGACACCCAGGCTGAGCATTTCTCCCGCCGATGCTTCCAGAGCAGCTGAGACCTCAGGCTCCCGCCCTCGCGTCCGTATCCCCGCTGTGTTCAAGCAGCAGGCGGTGACCTCACTCCTCCCGGGCCTGAGCACTCCTCCTGCATCCCAGGCGGTGGCCTTAGGGAAGTCTCCGAAGCTGAGCACAGGGTGGACTCTCCCTCTTGAGTGATTGGGGAATAGAAAGGGTGAGGATTTCTATTCTGTTCTGTGGGCTGTTAGCATGAACTTGTACCTTCCGCTTAGGCAGAGCTTTGCATTTCACATTCTAGTTTGCATCTCCGTTGCAGACAATACCAGGGTTTTGAATTATCCCACGGGCTTCCTGGCACATCTGGCCTTCCAAACTTGAAAAACAGAGGCGCTGAGAGCGAGGCTGAGAAACCGACAGGTGTCGGCCGGCCCCGCCCTCTCCCAGTTCTGAAGGGCAAGTTCTCTCCTCCAAGCGCCCCGCTCCTACCTCGCCCAGGTCCTGCCCACCTCCCCTCGGGACCGCCCAGGCCCCGCCTCTACGTCACACAGGCCCCGCCCACCCATCGGCCCGCCGAGGATCCGCCCACCTCCCACTGGGGCCTACCAGGCCCCGCCCTCCTCCCCTCGCACCGCCCAGGCCCC